CATATCACATAGTTGATATCATAATTTTCATATATTCATAGTTCAGTATCACATATCGCATATAATAACATATGACACCTATACACATTTCCATATACTCATGCACACATAAGAATCACATAACATTTTATAAGTTATTCCATACCATAATAACTCTGTCATTGGCTTATCGCAAGCCAATGTTTGATTAATAACATAAGTACAAATTAAATTGCACTCACCTTAGCCTTGCTTGCTTTGATTTGATCTTAATTCTTCAATTGTTCCAGAACTCGTTTAGGCTCTGTATCTACGAAATATAATTTCAAGACAATTATCAGAAGCCTAAACCTTATACTTCGATGTTATTAACTTAAATGAATTTAATAGACCAATATTCACTTTTTCCTTTAGGGGGTATCGATACACTCCTTAAGGTATCGATACCCTTATTGCATTTTGTGATTTTTCGTTCAAGAGGGTATCAGTACACATACTTAGGGTATCGATACACTCTACCCAAAACAAGTTTTTCACCCAAAAATCATCAACTCTTCACTGAATTTCCTCATACAAAACTCCTTTCATATCACCAAACTCAACTACAACTATTTTAACTAACTTCTATCGTTCCAACACTTTATTATCTACCATATTTCATCCAAATTCTTAAAGTTAAGAATCATACCCAAATTCCATGTTATTCAAACTTTGATTTAACACTTATAACTTCTTATCTACACCTATGACAAGTCAATTTCAGCTTCTAAATCCATTTATACATCTTATTCAAAATTCCACTTATCCACTTCTTATCTTTAATCCTTCATAACTTATAAATCTTTGAGTTTCTATGACCTTTTTCATCTCCATCATGTTTCCTATGTCTTCCTTAACCAAAACTATACTTGAATTTTAAGAATTAACCAAAAGAAATCAAACTCACCTAGGCTTGGGGCTTCACGGTTGGGAGAAGAAGAAGATGATGAGAAATATCTGAAAATTATGTTTCTCAAAACATTATCCATGTGGATTATAAAATAACCCCAAATAATATTTTATTCCATCCTTTGTTCAATGACCTTTTTGCCCCTTTCTTCTTCCTTCATTTGCTAATTCATCCTACACCATAGATTTCAATTAATTCCTTCAATTTTCAATTTATCTTATTTGGTCATTGAATTTTAAAATCTTATACTTTAATCACTAACCCGATATTGAGGACGGTACAATTACATAAAGTCATCAATATTATATGCTTATAATATGTAAAATATTAAATTAATAAAAAATATGTAAAATATTAATACATAAATTAATTTCTTTTATATGGATGCGAGTTTAATTTAATATTATTATAAATAATTTGATAGTGCATAGATTCCAATTGAACAGGCTCGCCACCTACTACCATTGCCCCAGATTTTCCACCCATTCCCCCGCCCCTTTTCCCGAGAAAATATAGAAAAAAGGACCAATTTTTTTAATATTTTCCTCTCTTCCCAAAGTGCACCCACCTTCTTCAAAGCCGGAAAAATCTAACAAAACGATTTAATCTTTCCGGCGTATATCGAAGTCGGCGGAGAATGGTGTCCCCTGAAAACTCCAATTATTGGTCTCACTTCGATTACACAACCTTGATCGACGATATCCCTGTCCCTGACGGACCTTATCCAGGTTTTTCTTGGTCTACGCAGCCAATCGACGCCCCTTCTAATGTTGTCGGGTACCCCCTAGAAAGTTCCTGCTTTTTCCTCTAATTTTCAATTAGGGTTTGAAGAATTGTTAATTTGACTGAGTGGCTTTGTCAAATTATTTTAATCATCTGTGTGATTTACTTTTGTTTTAATATGATTAGCTTTCATGGAATATTTTAATAAAGTTTCGATTTTGCTCCTGTTTTCATGGAAAAATTTATGAGATGCTTGTGTGGGTATATAGGGAGTAGATTTCTTTTAGTAGTAAATTATGTAAAATGGTCGGGTCTTTATCTTAAACTCGTGAACAAATTTAGTTTTCTTTTAGGGTTTACTATTGTCAGATTGTTATTTAAAAAGGTTATTAATATATATTTTTTGAAAAAAATTAGTGCATACAATTTATAAAGGTCATCTATTCTTCATCTTAGCCAAAGGCTGAGTCTCTGAACTTAGACAACGATGCACTATGTTTCAATCAACCTGTTAAATCTTGCATTTGTAATTTGTTTGTATGTTGTGATACTTGAAAAGATAGTTCTATAGTGGTTTTTGTATTTAATCTCCATTCATGTTCTCATGCATCATACATTCTACCACTTGCTTGTTTTGAAATTTGAAAACATTTTCTGTTTTAAACCCGAAATACAATTTTCATGAACCGGGTTTTGTGGTCAACTTCCTGATGTATTTTTTTTTAAATCAAAGCAATGTTATTATTGGAATTTGGAACAAAGTGCTTGAGTAAGAATGTTATATTAGCACGAACCAAGTTACCTACCTAAGTGGTTAAAGGATGATTGTTATCCCTAGAGGTCCCAGGCTCAAGTACCAGAGACTGCAAGGTTGTTTATACTTTCATTGTCAAATGGTAAAGAATCTTTAGAACAGATTCTACCTTATAATCACCCTAGATTAATAAAAAAAAATTGTTATTGACTAGGCTTCCCCCCCTTTTTTGCTGAACATGAGATTTTTTTATGTGCTTCTTGTGTCTTTGAGATATTCGTGGAACTAGAATTTTGATCCATTGGGAGGGTTGATTAACCTTTTGGAAAAGGTTAGTCGGTGCCTGATTATGGTCCTGGGTCAATTGTCAACGTCCCCGTGTGGCGTGTGCCTCTGTATTCGGTGCTTTATCCACCAGATGGTGAACTTTCGAATGAAAGAGAAACATTGGTTCTGGAATTGCTTATTTTGTAAGCAGACATCTCCATCATGATCTTTATGTGTTTTGGGGACTTTAATTGTGGCACATTAATAACTTTTATTCCAGTGTAGATCTTTCAATTCTTTGTTCGTTAAACCATGGCACTCGCATTATTGACAATTTAGATCCTCTTTCTTTTTCTTTTATTATTTTTTTCTTCTTTTGGGTGAGTTGGGGGGGGGGTTGTTATAACATTGCCTTGTACCTTTTCACATGGATTTTTTGTTGGTTTTTTTTCCTTCCTCCTATTTTCTTTATCGTCCATTTTTGATCTGTTCCTAGTGTGGAAAATGATGGCTCATTTGGAGATGCAGATGGTCTAAAGGAATCTGGTTCAAAGAAGAGGTAATGCTCTGCCTTTTCATGCCCTATATGATATAGTAAACAAAAAAAGGTAAAAAAAAATATGTATCACCCGTTCCACTTCCCCACTTATACAGTTATACCCTCATATTTGTGTTTAGAAAACTTTTTAGAACTGGTTTAATAGGTGGACACTTCTGTGTTGTGGGGCTTAAAATATTTTTATTGAAGGAATAGACAAAAAGAATAATATCTAGGGGCATTTACTTTTGAGAAGCTAAAGCATTTTCGTTTGTCTTAGCGTTTAATTGCTGCAAAACAATATAACTGCTCAAGTATGCAGCAATTCATGTCCTTTAATAAGATGATTTAGATGAAGAATCTTCTTGAATATCCCTTTTTGCATTATTTTTAACATAATTTATAATTATTCCTGATCTACAATTCTTTCAATTACAAAATAGAACTGACTTAAGTGTGATATCAGAGGAAATCTTATCTCTTATTCTGTTTCTGTTGCAGGGTTAGATCCGAATCATGCAATTCATCTAGCTCCAAAGCATGTAGGGAGAAGTTGCGTAGAGATAGGCTAAATGACAAGTATTTGAACCTCTCTTCTCTTCTTCTTCTTCTTTTTTGCTTTCTTTTCTGAGCATGAATGATCAACATTGTGTAAATAACAGGTTTATGGAGCTGGGTTCTATTCTGGAACCCGGAAGGCCTCCCAAAACCGATAAGTCTGCAATTTTGATTGATGCTGTCCGAATGGTGACCCAGTTACGAGGTGAAGCCCAGAAATTGAAGGATTCAAATTCAAGTCTCCAGGAAAGGATTAAAGAGTTGAAGGTGAGGTTGGTTTGAGTGTCTATTTTTGGGTGAAATAGTCAGAATCCTTAGCTTGCAATTTGGTATTTGGAAACTGCCGGTGTCTCTAAAATAATTAAACAAACATCGAAGTATACCCATTAATCGTATTAAACTGTATTTCCATATTTCAGGCTGAAAAGAATGAGCTTCGTGACGAAAAGCAGAGGCTGAAGGCAGAGAAGGAAAAGTTGGAGCAGCAACTCAAAGCAATGAACGCCCAACCTAGCTTCATGCCACCTGCAATCCCTGCTCCATTCACAGCAGCCCCAGGTCAAGCTCCTGGGAACAAGTTGGTTCCTTTCATTGGTTATCCTGGAGTTGCAATGTGGCAATTCATGCCGCCTGCAGCAGTTGATACCTCACAGGATCACATCCTCCGCCCTCCGGTTGCCTAAGCCGGCAACCAACAATGATTAGGGTTTGCATTTTGATGCAAACAAGGGTATATGAGTCATTTCATTGTTCTGGGTTGTTTTAGTTTTCACTGAAGTTCTTCTAACTGGCTTTGTTGGATGACTGACTGCAAATGTACTCCTAAGATTTGGTGCTGATAATTACATGTAAATCTATAATAAGTTCATCTGGCAAACTTTGTTTCTCTTTCTTATCTAGGTTATTAGGTACTCCTGGCTGCAAAATAATTTATTTTTGTGGTCAGTTTTTATAAATTAATTTTATTTTGCTTCTGCTAAGCATATGAATATCTAATTTAATCAGCTTTAATTATTGTGTTTTACAAAGCTTCATTCTTATTTATTGAAATATATTTTCAATAAAAGGATTCAAGATAAATAGTTTTATTCTTATTTTTGGTTAAGCTAGAACGTGTGTCAGTTGATCCAAGTGGGTTGATGGTATTCGGATTTGAAAATCCACTTCTTGATAATGTTTGATTTTCTTTTTTTTCTTGTAAGGCTGCAAAATGCCAACTCACCTCATCTTTTTGGACATCTTTCAACTACCTCTTTTCAAATCATCAATTCATCACTCAGCCAAAGCGTCCTCACATGGCTTCTAATTTTCTCAAATTCCATCTTCAAACCTCTAAAAACCAGACCTTATTCTCCCCCAAGAACCAAAATAATCATTGCCATCTATATTTCATCAACCCAAATGTCTCCCACAAGCACAAGTTCCCCTTCCCATCAATACATGCATCCCTTGTTTCCTCCACAACAGCACCCTCTTCCAGAGAACATGCAATCCTGCAAGCCAAAACATGTATTTCCACCTGCTTAAAGAAGCCTCTCAACAATCCCAAGCTAGTAGGCAAGCTCAAGAAGCTAAAACAACCCCGGTTTCAAGTCGAAATCCCACTCATCGATGACTCTCCATCGTCTCTGCCTCAATTAGCTCTCGACATCTTCAAAGACATGCCACTCAAAAGGAAAGGCTCATTAGCCGAGATTTTAGTTCTCTGGCCCGATGCTCGTTTAAAAGAAGTTGGAATCCAAGCTTTTGAATCGTGTTAATTGAGCCACATTGAACATATTGACTTACCTTCAGTTAACCAAAGTAACAGATTTTTGAGTCCTGCTGATGTTTCTGTCTTTTTGGCTCCTGAGCCATCTCAGCTTGCCCTTATAAAAGCAATATCCAATAGCTTTTATCCGAAGCCAGTGGTGATTTTCAATCCTAAATGGGGTTCTGAACAAGAGAGTGGCTTCGGTGATCTGAAAGGATTTGTGGGATCTTTTGAAGTGATTTATTCATTTATGGGATTAGAAGTTAAAGGTGTTTTGAGTAAAAGGAAAGGAATGGTTTTCAAGTGTGTTAGAGATGGAGTTCTGAGTGGGGAGCAATGGGCAGTTCTTGTGGAAGAAGATGGTGAATTGAATGTGGTTTCGAGGTTCAAATCACGACCAAGCATTGAGGAAGTTGAGAATGTGTTGTATAACTTGATGGCTATCAATTCACCTATTACCAAATCTGCCAAGTTCTTGAGAGGTTTGGTCTCTAATGTTACTGGAAAAAAATAAGTTCACTTTAAATTTTCAATCTGTTCAACATTTCCAATGCTGATATGCCATTTTTCCTTTTGTCATTTTATGAATGCTAATATTGTCAAATGGACTTATATCAAGTAGTTGGAGTTGCCTCGTAACCCAAAAGGCAGCAAGCTATTATACTTGGTGTTTGATGGTTGGATACCTGAACTTGATGTTTATAGCTCACCAACCGGTTCTATAACCATGAATATTCGAATCTGAAACTGTTAGTTACATTGGTATATTTGGAAGCTTTCAATCTGGGGTTCATTAAGTATCAAGAATCAGAGATTTTTCATCTTTTATGATTCTCTAGAAACACATAAATACAAAGAGAAAAGAGAAATCATCATAAGGGAAGAACAGTTGAGGGAAAAAACCAGAAGGCCTTGAATTTGCAAAGAACTCTCTCCACTTATATGTTTTCATATACAAACATTGTGTATATGTTTATCATCATTATGGTAAACTCACTATACTCTCAAAAAGTCCTTGTTAAGAACCCCTAATATGACATCCCTTGATGAATTTATCCGAGAAATCAATGTACTTAGCCCACAGAGGTCGAAGCTGAGCGAAGGCTATATCGAGCCACGGCTTCGCTCTGCCATTGAAATGGATGACCCCGGCTGTTTCAGCATCGGCTAAAGTTGTACTGTCTTGGTATCCCAATCCCAACATGTGCCAAAACGGATCAATTGCATGGACATGCCAATAGAATGCAATTAGACCAGGAGGTAATGTTCCTAGTTGCCACAAACTGAGGTCTGATTTGAAGTTCTGCACGAAAAAATCAAATTAATCAGCATACTAAAATCGAGGTATATATGCATATATATGTATATATGTGGGTATATATTACCTCTTCAAGCCAGTGATAGTATGTGAGGCTAATATTTGTCTTCCTCCAAACCTCAAGATCGAATATGTTCATGCCATATGCCCATGCACATTCATTAGGATCGAAATTATGTGCGATCAAAGGGTGGGAGAAGTTGAGATAGCTCTTGAACCGCTTCGACATGACGAACAAATCTTCACCCCGACATGTCTCCACTGCTCCATTAACTTTTCCATTCATATCAATGTCCCATAGAGGCGAAAGATCGGTTTGAATCACAATGTCGTCGTCTAGGAAGACTAACTTGTTAAGGCTTGGAAACAACTGAAAAGAAAACCAAATGGAGAAAGGCCATTACTGCTTGGACTATATCTTCCCCTTCTACTTAAACTAACAAAATGTAGTTTTATATATTACCTCAGGTAAATGTATCCGAATGTGATTCATCAAGGATTTGTACTTAGGACTCAATGCTTGTAATTTTGCTGCAATAACTTGAGGCTTGTCGGTATCATTGGCAACAATTGCAGACGATCCCCCTCTGAACTGTGACCTTACTCTTTGATCTTTCTCCATTGCTTCCAAAACAGGTATCTTCCCTTTCGAAATCCAATCGAATTGATGCAAAGCCTTAACCTCAATTATAGCAGGGTCTAAAGGATGCAATGAAAACCAGGCCTGCATAGGGGAGTAAGTTTTCCTATCTGTTATAATGTGAAGCACGATTTTTTCGGGGCGCAACGCGTTTTTAACGAGTGATGTTGCCACAACTGAGGTTGCAAGCACATTATCCGAGGCAAGGACAAAGTGGAAGTAAGAGTTATCGACAAGGGCCGGGACAAGTTCTGCTGAAGGGAGTTGGAGGCGAGCGGCTGCGTTGTTCGAGTGTTCGTCGGCTAGCTTTAGTGCTAAGCAATGAAGCTGTTTCGGAATGCTGCTCGATGCTACGTGGATGTACAAATATTCTTGGATTTTGGCTGTTCTGGTTCTTTGTTCAAGTTGAACTATCTGAAAAAACCCATGTTTATTAGCTCCAATGATCTCTTACATGTAAAACATAAAGGAGAAAACAACAAATTGAAGTGAACACCATTTCTCTGAGCCTTAGAGCAAATGTTTTGGCATCCAATTTGCTTTGTTTCAGTTCAGACATGAACTCTTGTAATGTCTGAGGAACACCAGTTTTTCCTTGTTGTAGACACCATTTTTGTCCGGACTTTAAAAATTATTATTATTATTATACTTAATTAACTAATTTATATTTTGATGCAGGCCACATACAGACCCGGGGCATCTCCCCAGCAGTTTCACGACATGTTCACCAACAGACGCATCACATGCACCATATTAGCAGTGACAAGGATGTGGGCACCATCCTTAATTAGATTTGTGTGCATGATAGAATGCTAAAAAGACAAAATAGTTAGTGGAAGCTATAGACCCACACAACTAAATTCTACCTAAACTTCACCTAAGCTCGTCATTTCGTACCAAACACAAAGAAATTTCAGATGCATCCATGAAGATTAGGTGAAGATATCAACCATAAAATACACAAAGGATTCGAAGACAAAAGGGGGGTAAAAAAGAGAAATCAACCAAAAATTCACTCACAGGGGGTTTTCGTTGTAAAAAGGTTTTCTTTTTTTTTTGATTAGAATCAAAAGGGGAACTTTGGGGACTAGAGTTCTTTGGAGACAAGTAATAAAAATCAGGAGTCTCACCATTGTATTTATAAACCGAGTAAGCAATAGAAAGTAAAGAATTTCTTTTTTGTATTTTCTATTTGTTTTCAATTTTCAGTATTCTGAGTATTTGTGTTTCTAAAAAAGTGAAGATACATAGAAGATAAGTTAGTAACGTTACCTTGCTCGGTTCGTTTTTACTTTGCGTTGTAGCTATTACATGGTGAGTGGGCGAGCGTTAGCGAGCAGTAGGTTTGGGTTTTCTTCTCAGGCGATGGAAGAAAAGAGGGTTTAAAGTTGCTCAGGTATGGGGTGTGAAGAGTTTCGGCTATGCGGGTGTGAGGAGTAGAGGATGAGGAGAGAAGAGGTTCAAAACGGCGTAAGGGGAAGTGATTAGGTTTAGTAGAAATTAAGATTTGTTTTTAGGTTAAATTTTAAAGGCTTTAGATAGTTTGGTTAAAACGTTGTCGTTTAATTGGGGTCCAGGGTGGTTCGCGTGGGTTTATTCCTAAAGGAGCCATGCTCATTTTTTTACTCAATTTATTTTAGTCCTTAAATCGAATTTATTCATATTAGATTTTGAGTTTTGAATTATTTTGTGTTTATGTTTTGGTCCCATAAGTTTGTCATCTATTTTGGGTAAATTATTATGATGTTTGTCAATTCTCTTTAATATTTTTCAGTCCTGGTACGTGTCTTCATATATTTTGGTCTAATATATGTTTTATGTTTTTTAATCCTTGTTTTATTTTATTTAGACCTGTAATTTAATAATTATTACTGTTTATAATTTGATTTCTAACTTGTTTAAGTTTTGTTTTAATCCTTTAATTATTGTTTGGAAAATAAATGTTTTGTTTGTTTAGTTCATTTCAATGTTATTATTCTAATTCAAATGTTTTACTAATATATAATGTTTATTTATTTCCTAGTTGTATATTATTAAATGTCTATTATTATGTTATTCGATATTTATGTATATTTATAATTTAGTCTTTTAAATGTTTATTATTTTAGTCATTGATTTTAAGTATTGTACATTTTTCATTGTTATTTAAATTTCACTCATGTTGTGCATATTTGATTTTTAAAACCTTGAGATGAGCACCTAGACTAGTGATTTTTTATTTTTGGTGGCACCCGTTTTCATGTGCGTGATAGCAAGAATTCAGGTAAATGTTATCTTTCGAAACTTCACCCACGTGATGTTTCCTTGACTACCATGCAAGAGGGGTCCACCATTACTTTGAAAACATCCATCCAAGTTTGGATGTATTCACTTGCTTGATCTCTAAATATATTACTATGGATTGTGATATTTTATTTTAGGTTCACTTTATATAGATATACATATTATTATTTATCAACGAAATTCCTATATATGAGTATTAAATATATTAATAAAAATGAGTTATTTATTTCAGTCCTTTGAATATCCTCATTAAGTTATTAATTTGAAGTAAATTAATCAAATATTTAATAAATGGATCATATTTTAACTTGATATTTGATTCATAATTTCCATCATGACGACAATGTGTAAGCAGCACAGTACTAATTTTGGGCGCTGTGGGGGTGCTAATCCTTCCCCACGTGTAACCGACTCCCGAACTCGTTTTAATCAATTTTGGTAAACGCAGACCAACTTTTGTCTTTAAAAAATGATTTTTCTTAAAATTGTTTTTAAAATACATTTTTAGGTATTCAACCTACCTAACCTAAAGGTTGATGGCGATTCTTTTCAATTTTATACAAATCAATTCCAAATCACCAAATTTTCAAAATTAAAAGTCGTAACTATTTTTTAAAAACAATAAACTATTATTCCACCTGAAAAACGGTTATGACAGCTTGGCGACTCTACTGGGGACTTTTTTTAGAGAGTCAAGCTGTAAGTTGCTTACACATTGTCATTGTGGTGGAAATTATGAGTTCAAGTCTTTAGTTAACTTATGATTTATTTATTGAAGTTTTTTAACTGTTTCATTTAATTGTTATACTAACATTTGAATCTTTGCTTTCAGATCTGTCCAAGTTTTTGTCGAGTTGTTTCGTTTTCCTTTGGAATCAAAGGGTTGAATTTCATCTCATACACATCACGTGCATTGGCATAACATGAGCTCTAAACCCGAGCTTCGTTCCAAATTAGTCGGGGTGAATGCTTTACTCTCGTAAGAATTTATTCTTCGTATGAGTTTTAGCAAATAACCCATGGGATACATAATTTATACCTTCGTAGGGATTTATTCCTCATATGGGTATAAGGTAGTGAATCCTCTCGAATTGAACTCATTCTGCTCGAAACCTGTAATGGGTGAGGATCGAGGGTTTGGCAGCCCAATGGGGCTCCGACATCAAGGACAATTCGAGTACATTTTTCCTCATTGAGTCAAAACCATGCATATAGTGAACCGTAGAATGGTCACCCTAGATATAGCTATACCTAATCTCTGTCAGTCAGTAGGTACCCAAAATAGGTGTACACAAAAGGAGCATTTCTAAACCCTTTTCTTTTACTTTAAATTCATATAATATATTTTTCTTTTCGAATAAAAGCATGTGAACTAGATACCATGCGGTTAGGATTATTTTCTTGAAATTAATCATTTGGGTAGAAAGCATGTCTGAGTAGGATTACTATTTAATTAAAGCATGTTCGGGTAGGTATCATCACAGGGTAGGTGTTTTATTCATATTTGAATAACATTTTTATATGTATTGATTATCTTACATGTATTAACTAATTTTTTTTTCTTTTGTTTGTGTACACTAACTTATTTATTTTGATTGTGTCATTTTTCATCTTTCTTTGCATTGCATTGCATTGCATCTTCATGACATAATGCAAAAGTGTTGATTTGCAAGGATACTCAAGTGGAAATTTTGCACAGAAGATATAAAAATTTTCAATCAAGCAGTCGCATACACAGACATGCACCGAGGGTTAAGATAAGTCCAGAGTACCAGAATGAGACTTATTAGAAAATTGTGCAACATTTGAGATTGAAAAGCTGATTCTTTGATCCAAGAAGTAATCCAACAATTAATTCTTATCTACGATCATCTCATAACTAGTCATCAAGAAGCAACATATTGACTTCAACATCGTCGAAAAATTAATGGAGTTAGTTTACAGAGCATTGAAGGGCATCAGTTCCAAATACGAAGATCCAAGACAAAAGAGTGAGCTCAAAGATTGTGTAGCATTTGAGACTGAAATGACGATCCACTGATCCAAGGAGTAATCAAGCAATAGATTCTTATATATGATCATTTCATCAAAGAGTAATGCACTTCAGTACCACCTGGGTATTAACAGAGTTAGGCTATAAAAACTGGATGGGCATTTTCAAGAACAAAGATTTAAGATGAAGCCATCCATTTTAGGCTCAACATCTAAGCGAAGCATGCCTGTAAAGTGCACTGTGTTAGAATGTGAAAGTTTTTGTTTCTGGTGAAAATTATTCTACAATATCCATCGTTGAGATCAACATTTTTGCATCTGCATTTGCATCTTTGTATTTGCATTTGAATTCACATCTTTGCATAATTATATTTATAGTTTTAATCTTACATCAAGCATTTGCATTTTGTTTCAAACTATTTTACATGCATTAAATTATGAAAATATGAGAATAATTCGTAGAGGATTTCATGACAGAATTTTCAAATTCAAATTGGAGTTAACTTGTCTTCCTAGAGAAGATAAGAACCATGAATGATATTTTAGCAAGGGTTGGTAAATTGAGAAACTTCAAGAGCAACTTATCAAGATTCAACAAGAAATGAATGATCAAGCAAAGAAGTTTCAAGATGAGTCAATGGAGGAGATGATCAAATTAATGGACATGGCGAATATTGTGATTCATGGAGAAAAGCCCTTAAAGAATCCATTTACGAATGAATTGAATGAAAATATGAACGTTAGTGTTGTAACCAAGACAAGAATGACAAATAACCAGGAACTTGTAGAAGAACGTGGGAATCAAATGCAACTCCAAAAATCAGTTGAGCTGGTATCAAAGAAAAGAAGCATAGAAGAGGACCAAGTACCATTGAAAAATGATAAAAAGAGCAAGAAGGAAAAGAAGATAATATATCTCATTCCAATTCCAATCTCATATTCAGACTTATTACCCTTTCTCTTTGAAAGCGGTCTTGTAACACTCATTCCTCCTAGTATTGATATGCGTCCAGATTGGTAAGATGTCAAAGATTTATGCAATTATCATACTAGAGATTTCAGTCACTCTACAGAAAATTGCATAATTCCGAGATTAAAAGTCCAAAATCTTATAACATAAGGGTTGCTATGTTTTGAAGATGGGAATCCTAAGCTCCTAAAAACTCAAAACTGGTCGAGAAAGAAATTTTTGAATTACTGTCTTTCTTATGATGTTGGTCAAGAACCAAACATTCAAAGTAAACATTTTGGTCATCGATCACAAGGTCTTCAAGAAAGCAAAGTAAACAATTGTAAGGAGACAGTGATGTCAAAGGAAAT